AATCTGGTCTTCCCTTAATAATTTGTCGAAACCTGGTAATCTTTTTGCAAATTCGACAATTAATTGAACGGTTAATATTGTTATTTCTGTTATGTGCCTAAAATTGAGATCGCTTTGATCTTCTCCTTCCGACGGCGCGTTCTGTTTTTTTTTTAATATAAATAAATATATATGATCATCGATTGTCGCTCATATTCATTGATATTTATATAAATTATTTAAATACTCACGGATATCCTTTTTAAATCTTCATCAGAAGGTTGTTCGTATTCGTTTTGAAAGTAAACCAGCCTATGAATGAGCTCCTCTTGCTCCGGACTAATGGGTTTCACTCCGTTAGCAGAACTTTTTTCATTATGAGACTGAGTCGTATTCGGCTCCGTCTGATAAAAAAAAAAAAAAAAAAATTTTTATTTATTAAGGAAATAATAATAATAATAAAAAGGCATGTATAAAAAGGTTTGTCACCTTAATTGCGGGTGTATCTGCCATTATTAATTCGGGTGATCCATTTGTCGTCGATGAAGGCTTCCCTTTTTCTCTTTGTGCCTTTTTTTCTCTTCTTTTAACTTCGCATTGAATCTCGGGTACCACACCTGAATTTAAAAAAAAAAAAAAAAAAAAAATTAATAAAAACGCGACAAAATTTTAATTTTATAAACGCGACCGTCAAAATGATAGGGAGAGGGAGGAGAGGAAGGGAGAAATCCGCAACGAACAAAAATCCATGAATAAAAAAAAAAAAAAAAAAAAGAAGATGAGAAGATGATGATGATGATGACGATGGCGACGACGACTCTTTCATAATTATTATGATGATGATAATAATAATAATCACTCACATTCTGGCCTCATGCCCACACTAAGGCACTTTTTCAATCTACATTCTTGACACTTTCTTCTCATGTACATATCTATTTCACAGCTGTCCCCATATTTACACTGATATACGGCATTTTTAGTAATGCTCCGTCGAAAAAAACCTTTGCAACCTTCGCATGTTAGTGCATTGTAATGGTATCCGGAAGCTCGGTCCCCGCAAACAAGGCAAAGTTCTTCCTGTTGTCTCGGCGTTGGTCCTTTTTTTTTCTTCGAATCGCTGCTGTCGACGCTGTAACCGTTTAAACTTCCCGGAGGAGAAAGATCTTCTCGTCCTGAAAAATAATAATAATAATAATATTAGTGAAAACCTCGATAGGTATTAGATATAAAAGAATGAGTGCGTGTGTGTGTCATCGGTGATACCGGAAGAAATGAGTTCAACCAACTTTTTAAAAATATTCATTTAAATAAATTTGTATATTCTCGGAAAAATTTATTTCATTGAGAATAACTTTAAAAAAAAAAATCATTCTCGATCGATCGATAAATCATTTTTTTTAATATTGATTTTTAAAAAAATCTTCTGCTTCTTTCTTCTTCTTTCAAACAAATTCGAATCAATAATTCGCCATTCATGAGAAACAAAAAAAAAAAAAAAAAAACTTCAACACAAGATTACAATTATTATTATTATTTTTTTTTACGGTAGAAGAAGTAATAAAAGATAGCAGAAGATAAAAAAGAAGGAAGAAGAAAATGTAAATGATGATGATGATGATGATGAACAAAAAAAAAAAAAAAAATTCTCAACTGAGATACACATTAATGGTAACTAAAGTCAAGGCTGCGCACTGCCCTCTATAAATTCATTTTGGAATTACTATTATTATTATTATTATTATTATTATTATTAAACATTAAAAAATGAGATAAATAATGATATTTAAAATCGGCATTAAAAAAAAAAAAAAAAAATAAAGAATCAGGAGCAGGAGGCATAGGTAAACATGTACATTGACTGACTGAATGAGGAGAACAAGGTTAGGTTACCACGATTCTTCCTTTTTTCCCAATATCATTATCATTATTATTATTTTTTTGTTATTTCAGGCTTTAAATTTAAACTATTATTATTATTATTATTATTATTATTATTATTATTATTATTATTATTATTATTATTATTTCGTAATAAAATTTTAGCCGTAAAAAAAAAAAGGAAAAAAAGGGAAAAAGTGATAAAAAAGTTTCAAAATTAATATTAATAATTTGAAAAATGAATTTTTCTTTTTTTTTAGTGAGTTTTTTCTTAAATTTAAATTCAAATAAAAAAATCGTAAAAAAAAGAGAGAAAGAGAGAGAGAGAGAGACAAGAAGAGACTGGTCGGATTATGAAATAAGAAGAAATCGGTACTGCCAACATTATATATATATATACTCACAACTATTTAATAAGACGATCTCGTTTTTTTTTTCAACTTTTAGTTTTCATTTTGAAATGAAAAATATTCGATATAATAAATAATTAGTTAAAGGAAGGTTCAATAATTATGTCATTTTTTACATTAATATTAACGAAAATATTGCAACGTTTTGCCCGGAAAAAAAAAAAAATTTATTCACTTTGAAAAATTATTAAATAATTCATTTTCAGAAACTGGCTTTTTTTTGACCCAAAAAAAAAACTTTCTTCCAAAATTTTATTATTATTATCATTATTATCAGTTTCTCAAGTTTAATCGAAAAAATTCAAACATTCTCTAAAACAAGGTTAAAATACAAAAAAAAAATTAGAATCTAGTAAAGTTGCAAAAAAAAAAAAAAAAATATTTGAAAAAAATCACGAATTCTTGTAACCGGTCATCCTTGAGTCTTGACACTCGATCAGTGAAGGGCAGGGAGAAACAAAGAAAAATTCAATTCCATTGGCCATTTTTTTTTTTTTTTTTTTTTAAATATTTCAATTCTTTATAAGAAAACAGAAATTTTTGTATGTGCCAAAAGGATTATTAGAGCCGGAATTGGGGAAACGGACACATGCCGACTTTATTAATAATAATAATAATAATTTTTCAATCGTCACTTCCGTAAAAAAAAAAAAAAAAAACAAAACCGAATTATTCAATCAATTTGTGATTTTTTTTTTTTTTATTAAAATGTTGACACGTTCGTTGAGTAATTACAAAATTAAAACTTGGGGGGGTTGAGGGGGCAAAACTCAATGTAAAAATAAAAATGAATTGAAAATGTAAACGACGACGACCGTAATGTCTGCTGAATAATATGTCGTCGTCTAAATTCTTATAGTTTATTTAATTTCATGTGAAAAAAAAAACAAAAACAAAAAACAAAAGTTTTTGTTGTGGTTTTGTTAATCATAAAGGGAGAGATTCTTCGTGAAAATTTTATTTCTGGTATTAATTAAGTAAATGTTCAGAGCGGTTGTGGCAAGATTAAGATATATATAATTTGTACCTGGAAATTTAAATAGCAAAAAAAAAGAAAAAAAAAATTTAAAGCTTGGAATGACGCAATTTAAATTAGTCACGTGGGTAACCAGACTTGAAGGTGACTCTTGGCAATGTATTTATTTCCAACCTGAACTTTTTCATACATTTTTATATTAAAATTTTCTCTCTTTTTTTTCTGAAAAAAAAAGAAAAAAAAAAAGAAAAGGAGGGTACTCACCGAGTTTTCCATTTGGACTGTACGGATCGTAGCTTCCCGAGGACATGGGAGAAGAATATCCGTTGCTAATTACGGTATATTGATTATGTGGGCCTGGAGAAGGTGTCAAGGGTGCACTTCCCATTGGAGGTCCCGGACTCGGAGGGCTCAGCCAGTCATCTGTTCGGGGCCTTTTGCTGCTACTTGAAATTGTACTGAATAAAGAATTGGATTGATTACTACTAGCCGAAGGGGTCATGTCTTTTTCACAAGGGCTATGAACGCGAGGTTCGGATTTGACTTGTGTTAAAACGAGGTCTTCTTCGCAGTTTCCAATAGGTTTCATGGCTGAAGCACCTCCTCGAAACATTTTCTAAATAAAGACTTTTACACTTTTTTTTTTTTCTTCTGCTTCTTCTTCTTCTTCTTCTTTTACTATACGTTTATTTGTCTAAATAAAACGGACGCTATGAATGTAAAAAATATTTAATCATTTTGATTGTTTCATCACGACGGCAAAAGAAAATTTAATAACTGACGATTTTTTATTTTTGTTTTCTGTCCGAATTCTTTCAACTTCGGAAACATTATCACCTGAAACAAACAAAAAAAAAAAAATCTGTATTATATATTTCTTTCTTTTTTCAATCAATAATAATAATAATAATAATAATTCACTTTTAAAAAAAAAGGTATAGAGTTACATAACTTTTATATATAGTTTTATTTATTTGAAAATAAAAAATGAAAACTTTTCACGTGGAGATTTTTTTCAGAGAGAGAGAGAGAGAGAAAGAGAGAGAAAAGATTCATTTCAATGAATGAATTGATAAAAATAATAATATTTATGTATTTTTTTTAACAAGCACAAAATTTCCATTTAATTTTATTTATTCTCATTCAAAATTATTAATATTTTAAAGGAAGAGACGAAAAATAAAAATATACTTAAATTTTATTTCTATAACTATTATTATTATTATTATTATTATTATTATTACGTGGAATATTTAAATATAAAAAGTGAAAAAATCCGTTAAAAATCAATGGTAGATTAAGTTTTTTTAGTAATATAACCAATTAGACAACGTAATTTGTCGTCAATCGATACAAATTTAATTACATTAATTAAATTCAAATAATAAACCAGTAAGAAAAAAATAAATAAATAAATATAGAGAAACTAATAGCAATTATAAACCCACATAAAAAAAACCCTATTTGCATTACTACTAGTAAATATATACAATTTTATCAGTTTTAATAATAATAATAATATTTATTAATAATTTTGAGCTTTTCCATTTGCGTTCTTTCTATAAGACAATATTATCATTATTATTATTAATTTTAAATCTAATAATAAATAATAAATGAGGAAATCAAAAAAAAAAAAAAAAAATTATAAGATACTCTTAGATACATTAAAATCCGTTTAATAACATTGGTGAGGAGCACAATAAGTAAGTAATTTTTTTTTTAAATGTAAATTAATCATTAAATTTTTTATGTGTTTTTTTTTTAAATACAGACACACGCAAACGCATACACGCACGCACGTACGCACACAGATTTATTCGATAAAAAAAAAAAAAAAAGGTATTGTTGTGGTTGTTGTTGTTGGTGAACTAAAGCTATTATTTAATTCGTTCGATTTTTTTTACCTTAACTTCGTCTATATATATATATATATTTGAATAAAAAACAAATAAAGGAAAGAAAAAATTTAAATAAAAAGAAAATTTCGAAAATTAAAGCCTTGCACACAGAGAGAGAGGGGGGGGGAACCTTTTCACCTTTTCTTTGACATTTAATGATTTGAGAACCATTATATAAAAATCGAAAGCGTAAAAAAAATTTTTTTTTTTAAGCTGTAATATTTCTGACATAATATTAAATTACATTAAACCATATATTTTCAGGTACTTTTTAATAATCGTCTTTTTCATTTTTTAACATAAATCGTGTTTTTGTTCTCGGAAGAAAAATAATTTAAATTTTTTTATTATTTATAGTTTTGAAATTACTTTTTTTAAAAAAAATTGTCTCAACAATATTTGGTAATAATTAATTGAAATTTATTTATAAAAACAACCACAACAACAACAACAACACATTTAATTCTAAGCAAATGAATAATAATAATAATAATAAAAACACATTTAATAAACATTTATTCATGTTTGTCATTAAAAATAATTTTTTTTTTATTAACCAAAGGATTTAGTAAAAGCAAAGCAAAGAGCTACTTTAATTGATAAACATTTTTTTTTTTTTTTTTTTCACAAGAAGATTTGTGACGCCCTCAAGCACGAAAATTGAAAAAATAAATAAATAAATAAATATGTTAAACAAATTCAATATTATTGAATTTGTTCGTAATTTCCTTATATGCTATATATATATATATATATTATTACTTTTAGCAATGTCAACGACTCATTTCAAGGCCATACGAAAGCAAACACTTTAAACATTCAATGTCGAGCATTTTCTTAAAGAAAGAAAGAAAAAAAAAAAACAAGTTTAAAAAAAAAATCTCTCTCTCTCTCTCTCTCCTTAAACCTTAAATTTTGATAACAACAATATTATTAATAAAACAAAATGTATTCGTGAAAATTTCTACAAAATTCAAACAAATTATTTATTAATAAATTAAAAGTAATATTTTAATTTTAAATAAATCCGAATCCGTCTTTTCCCTTTTATTATGCAATTCTAATAAATTAATAAGAATTCAAATCAAAAAATAAAAAATAAATAAATTACAATACTACATATATATATATATATAAATGCACATAATAACCTTAAATAATAATAATAATCTTTTTGTGAAATCCCTTTGAAATTATATTATTATAAAAAAAAATACATATGGCAAAACTTTCATGAAGTTTGAACATTGAAATTCAGCGTGCGTGTGCGTGAGAAGATGGGATAATAATTACATATTTATTATTATTATTTAATATTGAAAACGAAGGAAGCCCGGGGAGAAAATTACGACTGGAAAACAGGTATAACAACATCCATCCATCCCCAGACCAGTAATCATAATAAACGATACCGTAGAATAACGTGACAAATTTATACGCGGATCGGTAGGTAAATGTCATCCCTTAACCCAACCGACGGGAAATAAAAAAAAAAAAAAAAAAATGGCAACCTGATGGTGGTGGATACGTTTGCAAATTAATCCGAGTGTCTGACCCTGGTGAGATATAAATAAATAAATAAAATTTCCAGGATGTGAAACGTGAAAGTGTAAACAATTACAAATGGTTTATATAATGGCTATTATTCCGGGATTCATCTCTCAATTTAGTGTGAAAATTTGTGTTTTAAAACGTTTTTCATTATGACGTCACGATTGGAAAACAAAAACAAAATTTTTTTTCTGTGTGATTCAATAAGTAAATGACACGATGTTTATGTCGCATTTGTTATCGATATTAATAATAATAAAAAAAAAAAAAAATTTTGAAAGAAAAACTTGCAAATTTCAATCGGGGATAATAAAAAATCTTTCAATTTCATAAAATAAATAAATTAGAAAAAAAAAAAAAAAAGTTTTTTTGCTCGTTAATAATGACTCTGGAATGTCCCAACGAAATGAGAAAAAAAAAAAAAGTTATTTTTAAAAATTTATAACAAGATAGAAAAAAAAAATATTTCTAGAAGAAAATTTATGTTTTTGAAAAAGAAAAAGAAAAATTTTTTTTACAACTACAAGTTTTTTTTTTTTTTTTAATAAGATATTAAAAATTATGATACTAAATTTAAAATTAATTGATTATTTATTTAATTCCAATTAAATCCATCCCTGGATTAACCCTGGATAAAATTTTTTCATTTAAAATTAAACTTTTCAAACAATCAATAATAATAATGATAATAATAATAATAACTCTGAACATTACGTTCATTATTAAATATAATTAATTAGACAGAATAAATGCATTAAACTAATTAGAGAGGAGTGAGGGGGAGGTGGGAGGGGTTATGGAGAAGTTTTTTTTTTCGTTATACATTCATTTTATAACTGTATCAATTACAATAATAATAATAATGTGCAACTGCGACAGAGAATTTATTTGTTTTATAAAAAAAAAATTAATACTTGGAGACATTCAAGTCATTTAAATTCATCCCGACGATTTATGAATGAATCGTTAAAAAAAAAATTTATTATTATTATTATTACTAATACACTCCATCACATAAATTCGAAAAAAAATATAAGAAAGCTTGAAAAAAAAAAAAATAAGACGAATAAATTAAATAAGAAAAGAACATGTGGACGAGTAACCTGTATGTATATGTCTTGCAAGGTACCTGCATGAGATATTCACATTGTCACGAAAATATGAGTAAGAACAATATATACCTGTGACGTAGACACTCTAAGTGAATATATACGTAAACACGAAAATTTTGGACTAAATAAATTAACTCTATCATTAACAACGAACAATGATGAGAATTATTATTATTATTATTTTTTTTTTATAACGCAGTTAAATAAAAATTAAGACCTTACCGAAAAGACCATCGTCCATTTTTTTTTTTTTTGTTTATTTAATTTTTTTTTTTTCACGTTGGCATTCCTTATAATAATAATAATTGTTGTGTGTGTGTAGCGAATCCGCAAATATTATTTCTTTTTTATGTAATCCTATATTGTGTCGTTATAATTTGTGTTTTTATTATTATTATTATTTATTCCAAAGTAAAAACAACGCACTATATATCAATAAATAATATTTAAACTTTTAAATAAATTAATTCACAAAAAAAAAAAAAAATATAAACGAACTAAACCAACAAAAAAAAACTAAAACTAAACTTAAATAAAAAATAATAATTTTTCACGGAATAAATATTTTTACAATTTAAAATTTAAACAATAATAATAATAATTAACTCTTTTAGTTAAAACTTTTCATTTGAATATGGAAATTGAAATCTTGTATTAAAAACTAAAAAAAAAAAAAAACTTTTCAAGTTAAAAAAAAAAAAAGCACTCTTAGGAACCCAGTATTAGAAACTGGAGACTGGGAACGAATCCAATACCAAAGAGTGGGGAACCAACATCACGTGGTTTTTCTTTTATTTTTTCATTATTATTATTATTTTTTTTTTTTTACATGACAGCCATATTACTGACCTTGAAAGCATTCGCGACCTAGACTTTAATATTAAAATTACAAATTTAACATTTTCAATGTAAGAATCACATGAACCTCTCTTCTCTACGCGTTGTACGAAATACAGTGTGTGTGCGTGTGCGTGTGCGTGTTTCATTACTAAGAGTTAAGAAAAAATAATAATTCATAGTCATTGTCGAAGTAAATATTACAATTACAA